GGAGGGCCCCGAAGACATGATTCACGACCCCTCCGAGTTCTCCGACGGCTTCAAGTCGTTCCTCCAAGGAAAAGGCGTCACGAACGTCGACGGGTTCATCAAGGACTGCGGCATCCCCGAGCAAGTCAAGGCAGCACTCGCTGAGGGCAAATCCGCGGAGGAGGTCGTCGCTATGGCTGTAGAGCCAGGAGAGGATATCGTCGACGTGCTCAAGTCCCACTGCCCCCAGCATCACGAAGACGGTGAGGACGACGACGAGGACGACGACGACAAGGACGACCACGAGGTTCCCACGATGGACTCGATGCAGGGCCCCCCCGTGGAGGTTCCCACGATGGACTCGATGCAAGGCGCCCCTGGCGAGGGACCCATGACGGACTCGATGCACGGCGCCCCCGGCGAGGGCCCCACGATGGACTCGATGAACTCGGGCAACCCGACGAAGTGCGTTGTACCCGATTGGTGCTCGACGTACCCCCCGGAGATGCAAAAGTCAAAACCGGAATGCCAGTGCCCGGACGACTCGCACCCCTAAATTAAATCCATTACTCGATCGATGCTCGCGTATTCTCGACGTACCCGCTTGATCTATCACTTCATAAGTCCTTTGACTACAGTACGTGTATTACGAGCGACGAGGGGGGGTGAAAAATCAACGACTTAGGAGAAATTTTCGAAGAAAGTTACATATTTTTGTTTGTTTTGTTTGACTCACTGTAATACAGTTCACAGTTGTTTTTTACTTCCGTACTTAACAATCGTTTTTGTTTTACAATGCTCCTCCTCTTCTACGTACGAACTATGAATCGTTCGTCTTCTTAACTTAAGCTACACAACAGACAGACGCCGCGCAAGGTCCAGTGCTCTTCCTCGTCCCCCGCGGTCGGCATCTTCATCATCATCAAAAAGTTAGTCGAGTGTCCGGTGGTGGCCAACACGCCTCTTCGTTCCGCGGTGCGATACACCGGACAGCTGTAGTGCGTGTATTCGCTGATGTCGCTCAGCTTTTGCGGCTTCAACCAAATGCACGGCGCGGGCTCGAACAAAACTTTCGGCCGCGACTCGGTCAGGACGTTTCGCTCCTTGTCCCAGCCGCACCCTTCCAAGAATAAACCGTAAATGTAAATCCCACTCTCCGGCGCGGTCGTGTACTCTTCGTGGTTCATTCCGAGCATCTCCATCTCGAAACCGACGGTGTCGATCGCGTATTTATTGATCCGCGCGAAGTTCTGAAGCGCCGCGGTCGTGAACGACGGCGTGAAGAAAAACCCTGAGATCCAAAAGCACGGAGGCTGACCGTCTCTGTACCAGCTCTCGAACAAGTCCAAGCGCGCGAGGAGGTCGTCGACGTACCCCGCGAGCGGTTTAAGGCTCGGGAACGACTTCCCCATCCACATCTTCGGGACTTGACCGATCGCGAACGAGTTGAACACTGTCTCGAGCTCGGCGGACATCACAGTCAGACCCGCGATCGCGCGTTCGAGCTGCTGAAGCGACCCGCGAATGATCGACAGGAGACGGTTATACCGAAGCATCTCTTGCGCGAGCACGGTGTTCATGCTCTGCTCGTACCTCACCGGGAACTTCCGTTGCACGGCTTCGATGTCAAAGTTCGCGGGCAAGCGCTCTAAGCACTCTTTCACCATTTTTGCGACGAGCTGTTCTTGCCCGCCGCCGCCGCCGCCACTCCCGCCGCCGGTCTTGATGAGCGTCTCCGTGAGCAGCGCGGTGTGATTTAAATCCTTCGTGATGTCCGCGTTGTCGTGAAGCCCAAACGCCTCCGGCCGCGGCAAGATCGGCAGCGCGGCGATCGCGTCGAGGTACGTCTGCACGTCCCCGGGCTCCGGGATCACGTACGTCCCGCTTTCGCTGAGCTTAAACTCGGGCTCCAGCGCTTCCGCGCGGTACACGCGGTTCAGAAGCGTGTTCAACAAGCGCCGGTCTTTGTCGTCGGTGACTCTCCCGCCGTAGTTGCACTCGCCCGTCGCGTACTTGAGCGCCGCGAACGGGGTCTCGTCGTTGTCGTTCACGTACATGTGCAGCTGCCGGACGCTGATGCGCAAGTCGCCGTCGTCGAAGCCGTACGGGATGTTCCACCCGATCGGACCGAAGATTCGCCGCTCTTGCACGAAGCCGTGGCAAAACGCGAGGCCGAAGCAGAGCTTTTTGAAAACCTCCGATTTTCCGCACGTCTCGAAAAATTCTGGGTTCGCGATCGGGTCGAGCTGGAACGACCGTCGCATGTTCGCTCGCAACCCTCGCGGGGGCTCGTTCGTCATCTTTACGCCGTTCTGTAAGATCGTCACCGGGAACGACGCGGACGGAAGGGACGTCAACCATAGGCGGAAATTATCGTCGGTCGTCTCCGGTTTGATGCCCTCGCAAATTTTCTCGAGCGACGGCATCCACGACGGCGCGAGGTGGCAGTTCTGGAGCAGCACCCACTTCCCAACCTGAACCGCCTCCTCTATCAAAACCGCAGCCTTCGGGCCCTGACCTTGACCCATGGAGATCACGGAGATGTCGTTCGATTTATCCATCTCCTCCGCGAATTTCAACAGCGCGGACGTCGGGTCCGACCCGGGCGACAGCACGAACAAGAGCGGCGTCACCACCGTGGACTCTTTGAACGACCCCGCGAGGTCAAACGGAGGAGGCTCGATGAACCGTCGACCCATCGTGCTCTCGACGAAGTCGTTCACCCCGGGCAGGAGCTTATCCGGACGCAAGCATCGGAGTAAGAGCAGCCGCTGAAACTCGCTCGTCGTCTCCGAGTACGCCCCCGGGAGTTTCTCCTGATGCGGCTGCGACGAGTCGTAAATCGCCCGCCACGCCGCGACGTCCGCGGAGATGTCCTCCGGAACGTTCGCGAAGGGCTCCGCGACGGACGCGAGTCGCGTGATTTCTCCCCACATCTTCGGCGAGATCCACTCCTCCGCGGGCTGAGAGACTTCTTTTCCGGTGACGCCGACGCCGCCGGTGAGAAGGAACGAATACTCGTTCGCCGGGAGGCGATCCTCGCTGGACATGATCCGGCAGTCCAACAAAAACGCAAACAGGAGCTTGTCCTTCTCGAACAGCGACCGGCACACGTTGTTGTACAACGCGTACGTGAAGTGTTCGTTGATAATCTTCAGACGCGCGCCGAGCTCTTCCACTTCCTTGTCGCTGCCGTGAATCGACCGCACGAACAACGAGATGAACCACGACAGCGAGTACTGGTACATCGGGTCGATGTTCGCGAGGTCTCGGATGCAAAAGAACAACACGCTGTTGTACGCGCCGCACGGTTTGTACCCTTCGCGCGCTTCGTCGATCTCGATCTGCGTCGCGTCCGCGACTTTTTGCTTCTCCGAAATTTCAACGGACACCACCTTCGCCTCGGATAAAACCTCGATCGCTTTCGCGTCTTCTAAGATGTTCCCCTCGGACGAGGACAGCGTGTGAAGGATCCGGTCCTCGATCTCCTGAAGCCTTCGCTTGTTCTCCGCGGACGCGACGACGAGCTCTTGTCTCTGCGACTCGAGGTCCGGGCGCTCTTCCGCGACGACGACGCCGAGAAGCTGGTCGGAGAGACCGTCCACGGTGATCATAAAGTTCAACAGCGTCACCTTGACCGCCGTCTCCGGGAGGTAGTGCGGGTTACGCATCGCCGTCGTGATGTAGAACCGAAACTGGTCGCTAAACTCGATGATCGAGTCTCCGAGCTTGATGCACATCACGCCGCCGGACTTGAACAGCTGCTTCAGTAAGAGAGGCTCGAGCGAAGGGTCGAGCTCTTCGCCGACGTTTTCGAGAAGCACCGGGAGACCAAACTGAATCGCGTTTTCGAGCGTTCGCAGGTAGTCTCCGTCCGTGAGTTTTATCACCTGGAGGTTGTGCGACTTTTCCATGTTCTTCACCCACTTGTTCGCCTGACCTTGCGGGTCGATCATCAGCGGCCATCGACGCGCGTTCGCGATCATGATCCCGTTGTCCACGCTGAAGGAATCGTTCGGTAAACCCGCGATCCCCCACTCGCGAATCGCCACCGGGTCGCCGAGGCAGTTGATGAGCGAATACTTCGCGCTGCTCGGAATCCCCGCGTCCTTGCACGCCTTGACCCAGTCGTTCGCTATGCCCTCTCGGAACGCCATCGTGAACGTCCCCAAGTAGGATATCATCCCCGCGGATATGAGCATATCTCCGGTGAGGTTATCGTACGCGACGCCTAAATCAGACGCGCTCACCGTCCACCGGTCGCGTTCGCCGCCGAGGCCGTTGATGAGCGTCTCCGCGCGTTCGAGCTTGATCGTGCACAGCTCAACCTCGTCCTCTAAACGTTTCTTCTCCGCCATGGAGTCCTCGAGCTGTTGTTCCATCCCCGCGAGCGCGGCTAAGATGGCGTCTAGTTCGTCTTGCTTCACCTTCAGCGCGTCCATGATCGAGTTGTACTCCGCCTCCGCGGCGGCGAGCGCTTCCTTCTTCGGGCCGACGATTTTCGCGACTTTCTCGTACGAGTCCATCGCGCACACCCACCTACACAGGCCCTCGGCGGCGCTGGACGCCTTCGCCGCGTTCGCGGGGGTGAAGTCCTCGTTCGCGATGTATTTTTCTCGAATCTTTTCGATGATCCTCTCCGGGATGTTGTCCTTGTCGTACTCCTTCAGCGACTGCACGAACGTCGGCTGACCCAACAGGAGCTTGGACGGGCCCCAATAATCGTCGATTTTTCTCCCGGTGCCCGCCGGGTCCGGGATCTTCGCGGGTTTCACGTCCAGGCACACGCACACGGCTTCCATGACGAGCTTGATCGCGGCCGGGGGGTTCTTGAACGACTGCACGAGCTTGATATCCGCGGGTTTGATCGTGTCCAAGGCTTCGAGCGCGGCGTTCAACGCCGGGATCGCCTCCGCGAGGAGGGCTTCGCACTCGGCTTTCACCTCGCCGGCGGCTTCTCCCTTGGCGGCGGCGGCGGCGACTTCCTCGTCCACGATCGCCTTTTTCGGCTCGACGACCTCGGCTTTCTCTTTCTTCACCTTCTCCATCAGCTCTTCCGTCTCCGCGACGGTGCGTATCAGGTTAGGTTTAAGCGCCGTGAGCTCGTCCTGCATCTCTTTCACCGCCGCCGCGGTGAACGCGAGCTTCTCTAAACCGATTTCGTACCGCTTCTTCGCGGAGCTGACGCGTTCGCGTTGCTTCGCGAGCAGAGACGTAAACATCGTGAGGAGCTCCAAGTACGACGTCGGCGTGACGTAGTTATGCCGTCCTTCTTTGAGCAAATAATCTGCCGAGAGCTCGCGGACGGAGCTATGGAACGTCTTACACATCTCGCGGAGTTTCACTCGGTCATCCGCGGGGACGTCGACGTCTTGGAGCTGCTTGTTCGCCACCGCCTCCAGGGCGTCGTTCGGCCACTCCCTGAACCAATCGATCGTGCAGCAGTTCACGAGCGACGGGAACTGCCGCAAGCGCTCGCGGAACGCCTCGCCGATCGGGGAGAAGCACAGAATCACGTGCAAGTTCGCGCGGCACTTTTCGATGAAGTACTGCCACAGCTCCGTCGGCGTCTCGAGGGGGTTCCCCTCCTTCTTGGACGCGACGCGGCATTGCTCCATGACCGCCGTGCGCTCGTCGTACGGGAACAAGTTCGGGACCTCGCCGCTGTTCAGAAGGTTGTTGATGTCCTCGACGTAGGATTCTTCCTTGATTTGCGTGTCCGAGAACAAGAACACGCACGGCTTCCCGCTTCCGCCGGCTTCGCGGCAAAATTTCTTCAAATCCTCCTTCCACTCGACAGTCGTGTAACTCTTCGAGATGGCAATCTGGAAGCACTCCATGCCCATGATGAACGACGCGAGCCGCGAGAGGGACTGGCGTCCGGACCCGCCGACGCCGACGCACAGCATGTGCGCGCCGGGCTGTTTCAAAACGCGGCAAATCCTCGACACGTGCTCCGCGGCGTACAAGAACATCGCGAGATTCATCGGCGATTTCGAAACTCCGTTGTGATCGACGAGGTACTCTTCCAGGCGGTGCACAACCTCAGACATGTCGGTGATCTCGTCGTACAGACGATTGCCACCCTGCGAGTCCGGCTCGTCGTCGCCCATGTAATCGCCGAACATGCAGTGCCGGAGCTCCTCCGCGTCGACGTCGCCGCTGTTATCGAAATCGAGGTGGTCGAACAGCTTGTCGAAATCTTGGTCAAAGTTCGAAATCGTGAGCTCTTTGATGTACCCGAGGATCCACGTCCGGTCGTCGTCGTCGACGAGGCGGTCGTAGAACACGCGCATCGTCTCGTGCACCCACAGGCGGTAGTGCTCGCCGATGCCTCCGAGCCCGGTCTCGAGGCCTTCCGCTTTTTGCAGCGTGAGACCTTCGATCACGCGCGAGACGTCGCGGAGGTTAAACGTGTAGTGCGACTTGGCCGGCGTCGGAAGCAGCTTGGCGATGGAGGACGTGTACACCTGCAACGTCGCGTCGATGATCTTCTTCTTGAGCGCGCAAACCTCCTCGGGGAAGTTGTTCACCCTGTAGAACCACCCGAGGATCGTCCCGAAGATGTGCTCGAGCGCTTTCGCGTCAAACTCCACGATCGACAGCATGTTGAAGTGACGCTGGTACCGCTGCGTGATCGGCGCTCGGCCGCCGCCGGGGGGTCCCATCGCCGCGACGAAGAGCACGTCCTGCATGTTTCGGAACGTGTTCTCTCTGTCGTACCACCCGCCGTGATCCATGAACTGCCGGAGCAACTCGATCGGCGGCTGCGCGCCGTACGTCTCCTTCTGCGGCATGTTCAGATCGTCGACCATGACGACCATGCGCTTGCCGATGGGCGGGCCAAAGTAGCCCTTCCGACGCTTGTCCAACTTGGCGTCGATCAGATGCTGCGTGATGTTCGCGCTCGTCTTCGCGCTGAACCCGACGAAGTTCGGCGGCGCGTACAGCTCCGGGTCCATCTTGAGCAAGTGCCCTTGCATGTAGACCGACTTCCCCGTGCCGGTGGGGCCGCAGAACAAAATCGGCGAGTCGTTTTGAATCGCGAGGTCGGCGAGATACAAGTACCGAACCGTGTCCACAGTCGGGACGATGATCGACTTGAACGCCGCGTCGTCCGGGATCGCGGTCTTGTCCACCATGTCCTCCCACGGCACCCACGAGGAGCTCTCGATGTCCCACCGGAAGTCGTAGATGGTCGTCTTGATTTCCCCGTCGCCTTCGCCGATGGACGCCGGCGGCGCCGGCGTCGTCGTCGTCACGTGCCCGGCGGGGATGTCCTCCGCTAAGATGTACTTCTCGCCGCTCGGACCGGCGTAGCCGTTCTCGAGCTCGCACGCGTACGCGGTGCGGAAGAACTCGTCGAACGCGGCCCTGCCCTCGTTCGTCGCCGCGCTGCCGCCGATGGACCACGCGAGGGAAAAGATGAACACGCTGTCGATGTGCGCGTCGAACGCCCCGGGCTCCTTGACGGGAATCTCCTTCACGAGACCCTTCGGATCCGTGAGCGGGACGATCAGGAGGGACTTGAACGTTCGCATCAAGTTGACGACCACGTTCGTGCCCTCGTCCGTCGTCGCGGCGACTTCCTTGATCTCCCTCTTCAAGAAACGGATCGACACCGGGACGAGCCAGTCGAACAGCGCGAGGACGCGCGATTTAAACGCCTCGTTGAACCACTTCGTCTCCGGAAACGTGTTGAGCCACGACAAACACAGCGGCCGCCACCCGAGCTGGTGCGGCTCGAGGAACACCATCCCGCACCGGGAGACGGTCGCGGGGGACGCGACCGCGAGGTCCGCCACCTCGAAGATCATGTTCATGACGTTGCTCATCGCGATGATCTCGCCGCTGTTCAGACACAGCTTCTTGTTGTCGTCGAGCACCGTGTTCATGTTTTCGATCCAAATCGCGTCGACGGGGCCGTCCAGCATGAACCACTTCCGGTTCGGGCTCGGGTCGTGCGCGAGTCGCTTGTACACCACCGCGAGGACGCCGTCCTGCCACTCCTGCGTCTGCGGGTCGCTCTGTCCGTACAGCTGACCCATCGTGATCGACTTCGGGTTCACGCACTCGAACTCGCACTTCACCTGTCCTTCCTCGCCGCGCTCCGCCATGATGGAGAGCGCGCGCGCGAGGACGCGATAGGAGCACGTCTTGCCGCTGAACGGCTGCCCGACGATCATGAGGCCGTGACGCACGACGATCATCTCGTACAGCTGCGTCGTTTTGAGGAAGAAGTACGGGTCCGGCTGGAGGTTCATCTCCGCGCATGCCTCGTGCATCGCGGTCTCCATCTTCGTGTAGTCCGACTTGGGTAACTCGACCCCCGGGAATAAATCGGAGATGATGCCTTGGAACAGCGGGACGTCTTGCGAGAGAAACTTGCAAAGGTTCACGTCGATGATCGACCGGAGCATGAGCACGTGCTCGTCCTCTTCCGGGTACCGTCGCTTGAGGTTACCCGCGGCTCGGAGCACCGCCATGACCGCGCGCATGCCGTAATCGTAGTGATCCTGCGACGACAGCTGCTCGGAGCAGAGCTTGTAACACTGCACAATTTTCGTCGCCGAGTCTCGCGCTTCGAGATACCCGAACGAGTACAGGATGATCTCGCCGATCATCGCGTAATCCGGGACCATCATCGCGACCGTGCGGAACAGAGCTTTCAGGTTATCCGGAAGCTCGGAACGACCGGCGTAGCCCGGGTTCATCGTGATGCACGCCCACGCGCTGTACTTCAGACCAATCTCCGTGCCTTCGAACACGAACGACGTGACTTGCGCCGCGATGGCGCGTTGAATATCGAGCACCTGCTGCGCGACGACGGATAAAACCTCGAGGTCGATCCGGTTGAACTCGTCGAAGCACGCCCACGCGCCGCTCGACGCGAGGCCTTTGAAGAACTTCCCCATCTGGATGTAGTCCATGCTGTCCGAGCAGTTGAACACGACGCACTGCCGCGCGAGCGCCTTGGCGAGGTCCTTCGTCGTCTCCGTCTTGCCCGTCCCCGCGGGGCCCTCGGGGGCGCCGCCTAACGTCAGGTGGATCGCGCCCATCAACGTTCGGTAGCACCGGTCCGTCAACGGCGTGATGACTAAACGGGACGAGTTCCCTAAATACTCGTACCCGTACTCCACCTGCGCGGACATGATGCGCATGATGGTCGTGAAGTCGCGCTCGCCCGTCTCGTCCTCTTCCCAGTAGGACCGCAACTGCGCTTGCCAGTCGAAATCCGTCGCGCTGGACACCCCCTTCTCGGCCAACTTCGCGACGACGTCTCTCGCGTGGACGTCCATGACGACGAGCGCGCCGAGGGTTTTCCGCTGCAACGACGTCAGCTCGCCGCGCACGCGGTCGACTACTTTAAGAAGATCCGAGGTGCACATCTCTTCGTACTTTTTCGTCTGTCCCTTCGTGATCGCCTCCGTCACCCCTTTGGTCCAGTACACCGCCGTGCACACGAGGACGACCATCCCGGGCCAGTCCAGGACCCACTCGTCTCTCGGTTTTAGCTCGTACGATTTCAAACCCTCGCCGGTGACGTGGTGAATTGAGTCGAACATCGCTTTTTCAACCTGCAGCAGCCACTTTTCCACCGCGCCGTTCGCCGCGGCGGTGGAGATGATGTTGTTGAAGGGCACCTCCTCCTTCTCCTCGGAGACCATGGCGAGGATGTCGTACTCGCCCTCTTCGTCGAACTTCAACTTCGCGACGCCTTCGAAACACTTTTTCAAGTGCGGCTGCACGCGCGTCGGATCTTTCGTCTCGGAGAGGATCTCGAGCATCTCGTCGTTGGAGAGGAAAAAGAAGCGAGGGAAAAACAGACGCTTCTTCTCGAGGTAGGCGCTGAGGCCCTTCTGGATCGCGTCGAGGAGGACGTTGCACTCCTCCAGGCGGTCCAGACGATCGACGTCCCGCCCGATCGCGATCACCCCGGGCTCTTGCGACGTCGCGGTCATGATGTCCCGCCACTCCTGATCCACCTGCCGGAACTTGTCCCCTTCCTCCGGCATCTGCTTCACGATGTCGTCTGAGGAGAAGATGGGCTCCAAGTACAGCCACGTGGACTGGCACTTCAGCCAATTGTCCAACAAATCCTGAAGCGTGTTGAGCGTCTTGCTCCACTCGACCGCGTCTTCTTTGAACGGCTTCACGAACGGCGACGCGCACATGCCCTGCGCTTTCACGATCTGGTCGTCCAAGATGGCCTGCACCTCCTCGGCGCCGCCGAGGATGAACGTCCCGGTGTCCTTGTACGCGATGCACCGAAAGTCGACGCCGTCCCACTCCGCGATCATCTTCTCGAGGGTCTTCAGGAGCGAGAACTCCTTCGAGGCCGTCGCGCCGATGGCTTCGAGCTTCTCGAACTTATCCAGGACGCCCATGTCGATCAAATCTTGGCACGAGCACGGGTTCGCCTCGTCGTACACCTTGCCAAAGACTTCGAAAATTTTCTCCCAGTGACGCGGCTGCAGCGCCGGGTTCGCAACTTCTTGCAACAGCGGCTGGTACTTCCGGAACGCCTCGATCTCCTCGCGCGTGCGCATGACGACCTGATCGTCCCTGCGCAGCTTCAGGAGCTTGTACGCGCCGGTGTAGACGTCGTCCACGGTGCTGACAATCTTTTCGAGCTCGAGCGACGGCGTCGGGGACGTCATCCACGAGTTCATCGTCGTCTGCCAGCCGTGCAGTCCACCCCAGGATTCGTACTTGGTGTCGTACTCCTTCGTCGCGAACTCCAAGTTGCTGAACGTCCCGACCGGGGTCTCGAACAAGCCTTGGTACTTTTGCATCGTCGCGACGCGGACTTTGTACCCGTCGATGAGCGTCTTGCACTTTTGTAACTCGTCCACGACGAGCTGCGCGTCCGAGTCGCGTTCGATGAACACGCCCGTGTTTAACGTGCTCTGCACCGCGAACATGTTCTCGTCCAGCTCTAAGATGGCGTTGTTCATCTCCTTCGCGAAGTTCTTCTTGTGCTTGTCCACGAACACGATCGCCTCCTCCATCGCCACGTGGAACTTTTGCACCGCGTCGTTTAAATCGTCCCGCTTCACCGAATCCGAGGCGGGAATCTTCATCTCGTAGTTGATCAGCATGTTGAACATCTCCTCCACCATCTGGTGCTCGGTGTGGTAGTTCATCTTGTTGTCCGTGTGGCTCTTGTGCGCCTCCATGAGCGACGCGAACCCGTCCAGGTCTTCCGGTCGGTCCATCAGCGACTTGGCCCGTTTCTCGAAGCGCTCGCGCGCCGCCGTCGACTCCTCGCGCGCGGCGACGAGAAGCAACGCCTTCATGCTCTCCAGCATGCTCACGACCGTGCTCGACAGCTCGTTCCGCAGCGGCTTGACGTCCACGGACAACACGCCGACGGTCGCCGCGAGCTTCGTGCGGTCCAGCTGCGTGACCCAGTCGCGCTGCACGCGCATGTCCGCGCGGAACTGCGCCACCGTCTTGGGCGCGGCTTCGTACTCGGCTTTGTTCCACTCCATGCCAAACTTGTATATGGCGCGGTTGTCCTCGAGAGCGAGCGCGTACTCTTTGCTCTGCTCGAACGAGTTTCGGACCGTCTGCTCGATGCGCGCCTTGACGTTTTGGTACTCCGGCGACGCGAGGAGCACCGCCTGGGCTTGATCGCCTTCGAAGAGCACCGGCGGCGCGTCCGCCGGTCTCGGCTCGCCGTCTGGGGTTTGTTCGAAAAGCGGCGCAAAGGCGCGGTTGTGCACCAATCGCGGCACGGACCCGACGGCCGCGACGACGCCCTGCGTGACGGACACGTCCAACGCCTTCATCATCACGTCCGCGTTCGGGGTGAACGTCGTGAGGTCGTGCGCGAACGCGACGGTCGTGACGAACACGCCCTTGGACTTGGGATCCTCCGTCGACGCCGCGAAGAGAGACATCAACGCGTTCATGTTGTTCTGGCCCATGCCGACGAGCGCCTCCGTGAGCATGAAGTCCGCCAGCCGCACGAGCGTCGGGAGCATCGCGCTCTCTTCGACGCACCGCTTGTACGCCCGCGACCGCTCGTGCCGCTCGCGTTTCAGCTGCACCATGCTCTTCGTCTTGCTCACCGTCGCGGCTAACGATTTGTTCGTCTCCGCGACAACCTTCATCCTTCTCACCTCGTCCACGACGACGCGAATCACCTTCTCGAGGCACGCTTGCATGCGCTCGCCCACGGACTCTATCGTCGGGTACGCCTTCTCTTTCCTCTGCTTCTCTTGCGCTTCCTTGAACTCGTCGACGACGTACAGCGACGTCGGGTTCAGCGTCACCAGCGCGTTTTCCCTGAGTTCGTTGCACAGCGCGCCCAGCGCCATCACCGTCGGGTTAAACGCGGGCTTCACGAGGAACAGCGACCGCTCGATCTTCGCGCGGACGGTCGCGTACAGCCGGTACCGCACGTTTTGTTTCCAGAACGTGAACATCTTCCGCGCGAGGTAGTGCCGAAAAAACGGCATCTGTCGCAAGAGCGCGAACACCGACGCGTCTCGGATCCACGCCCCGAGCGGCGAAAACTCGCTCACCACCCCCGGTCGCACGTGCACAACCCCGGACGCGGCCATCGTGTAGTGCTCCAAGTGCTTGTGCGCGGTGATGAAGTCCTTCGAGACGACTCTGAGGTCGTACGGCGCGAACGTCGCGTCGTCGTCCGTCGCCGTCGGGACGCAGTAAAAGAGCTTGACCTCCGCGCCCATTCCGTTTCTCACGTAGTACTCGATGATCTCGTCGCTCGTCTCGATCCCCGCCGCCGGGTTGACGTTCTGCGAGCCGGATCCTCCCGGCGCGTGCTTCCGTCGCTTCGTCGCGGTCGCGTCCGCGAGCGCGCGCGGCGGCGTCCGCGGGGTTCCGGTCTGATTCGCGATGGAGGAGACCCCGCTTCCGATGGCGCGTCGCGGTAAGGTTTTCGGGCGATTGAACGTCCCCGCGAACGGCCCGCCGCGATGGGTGGAGTCCAACGCCGGGAGCTTCACGACGTCGTGCGCGGCGATGTACGCCCCGGACGTTTCCAACACGTCCTGCGGCCGGTACAGCCTCGGATCGCTGCTGCGCGCCGCCTTCCTCGGGGTGATCGACGTCGATTCCGGAGGAGCGCCCGAGAGCCCTCGGAGTCGAGGCGCGTTCCTGCGCGCGTCGCCGCCGTCCTTGGACATCCACGACGGCTGTATCGTCACCGGGGTGCGATCGCCCTGAGCGAGCGGGCGCTCGCGCGGCCATTCCCCCTGTCTCATGCTCTTCGCGAGCCACGACTCGTCGCGGCCGCCGTCCGCCATCCCGCGCGATCGATCGCGGCCGAGCGCGACCGACGAGAAAAAATCAGATTCGTCCCGCGGGAGACGATCGAACGGAGACGGACCCACCGGACACGCCGCGCGTATCGGTTCGCCGCTTCGTTCGTCTGCGCCCGCGCGGTCGCTGCTGCGGCGATCTCCGGCCTACAGCGAGCGATCAGACGCGGTGCGGTGTGCGGGACGTCGGCGAGCGAGAGGGCGGACCAACGGAAATCCAAGCCAGTCGCGGTCGGCCGGCAAATTCCGGATTTGGAAAGTCGGAACGCCTGCAGCGCAGTCACTGCTGCCTGCACTGGCTGTCGGGCGAGTCAAGTTTCGAGGTCGTCGTCGGACGCGATGGGTGGTCGATCACAAGGCGCTACAAGGCGGCGACTTTGTCGCCGGCGTCCGTCCCTCCCGCGTCGTCCTCGGCCTCTCGACGCTCGACGACGCTCACCCGCCGCCGCCGCCGCCGCCGCTCGGAGGCGCGCGTGCCAACATCGCGGGCAAGTTCAGCACCCTCCCGCCGCCGCCGCCGCCGCCGCTCCCCTCCCCTTCCACCCCGTTCAACGCCGTCGCCGTCTGCGTCGCCGCCCTGGCGACGTCCTCCACGCTCGCGGTCGGGTACTTCTCCAGGTACAGCGCCGCCGCGCCGGCGACGAGCGGCGCGGCCATCGACGTCCCGCTGACGACTCGGTACGACGCGTCCGACGTTTTCCACGCGGACCGCACGTCGCTCCCGGGGGCGAACACGTCCACGACGGGGCCGTAGTTGGAGAACGGCGACATCGCGTCCCCGGCGCACCGCGCGCCGTCGGTCTTCGCGACGCGACACGCGGTGCTCCCGACGGTCAACGCGGTGGGCTCGGACGCCGGGGACACGCCGCGCGCGTCTTCGCGTTCGTTCCCGGCGGCGGCGACGACGACGACGCCGAGCGACGTCAGATCCCGGACCGCGGCGTTGACGGCCTCGCTCCTCGGCCCGCCGACGGACATTGAGACCACCTTGCGATGCCCCGGCGGAATCTCCCGCTCGAGGACCCAATCCAGCGCGGACAACACGTCGGAGGAGGAGCCGCGGCCTTCGCCGTCCAAAATTTGCACCGGCGTCAGCGACGCGCACTTCGCGATCCCGGACGTCGCGCCCACCGCCGTCGCGGCGACGTGCGTCCCGTGACCGGACGCGTCGAAGACTTTCCCGTCGCACCCGACGAAGTTCCACCCCGACTCGACGCGACCGTGCGGTGTGAAATCCTCGTGCGTGACCCCGACGCCGGTGTCGAGCGAGTAGACGTGGACGCCGCGGCCGCAGAGGCAGTCCGGCGGGTCGTACGCGCCGTCCAGACGCGAGATCGTCGCGGGCGAGATCGACGCCGCGTTCGGCATCTGCATCTGCTCGTACGTCGCGCGGTCTAAGTTCCACTGCGCGTCGGTCAGCGACGTCTGCGAGTACGGACACGCCGCGCGCATCACGGGACCCGGCGCGTTCGCGTTCGCGTTCGCGTCGGAGTCGAAGTCGACGTCGACGTCGAACGCTCGCATCTCGACGTCGGTCTCGAACGACTCGATGTCGTCTTCGTATTCGCGCAAGAACGCGTCGCGGTCGGCGGCGGACGCGCCGTCGAGGACCGCGACTCGGAACGCCGGCGCGGCCGCGCGCAGAGACGGACGATACGACAGCGCGTCGTCGTCGTCGTCGTCGTCGTCGTCGCCGCCGCCGCCGCCGCCGAGGAGGAGGAGACGGCGGTGGCGGCCGGTCGAAGGCGAGGGCGACGCCGCCTCCGCGGCGTGAAGCGCGGTAAAAAACTCCGCGACGTCGCTCGCGCCCTCTCCTTTCCCCGCCGCGGCCTTCGGGCGTCTCGCCTCGACGACGCGCCTCGCCTCTCTGAACCTTTCCGCGGAGAATTTCGGGCGAAACCGGACGATCACGCGATCGCGCTCGCGACGCGGCGCGGACGGTCGATCCGGCGCGTCGCCGCCGCCGCCTTTGACATTCGCCGCGCACGACGGCTCTCGCTCGACGCCGCCGCCGCGGAACCCTCGAGGCGCGGACGGTCGCCCGCCGCGCGGTGCGCGACCGCCGCCTACGAAAAAGAAGGGATTATTCGTGTTGGCGTTGGCGTTGGCGTTGGCGTTGGCGCCGCCGCCGAGGGCGTTCGAATTGCCGCCGCGATCGAAGTTGGATCCGCCGCCGCCGAACGACGACGACGACGACGACGACGCGGCGGCGTCCGACACGTCCGACACGTCCGAAACGTCCGACGCCGCGGCGCTCGCGCTCGTCGCCGGCCGTCGCGCGCTACGCGTCGCGTCCACCGCGCCGACGGTCGGCTCCGCGAAAGAACCCCCGCCCGGGTTCGGGTTCGGATCGGACGTTTGAACGGGCGCGGCGACGACCGGATCCGCGCCCGCCGCGGGGGTCGTATCGATCGGCGTCGTCGTCGGCGTCGTCGTCGTCGGCGTCGTCGCCGCCGCCGCAGGTCTCGGGCGGTTATCGATCGCGGCGGCGGGGACGTCGACGGTCTCCTTGGGCGTCTCGATCGGCGCCGGTTGCGGTTGCGTCGGCGTCTGCGTCGCCGGCTGCGCCTGCGGGTTCGACGGCGCGTCGACGGGCGTCGCCGTCGTTGCCGCCGCCGCCGCGTCGGACGGAAGCGTCGGTCGCGGCTTCGCGCTCGGCGCGTCGACCTCGGTCGCGGCGGGCGTCGTCGTCGTCGTCGTCGTCGTCGTCTCGGGCGAAGACGCGTCCGTCGTCGTCGTCGTCGCCCCGCCCCCCGCGCCCGGTACCTCCCTCGGCCGCTTCGTCCCCCCTCGCGCGGCGCTCGCGACATCGGGTGACACGTCGACCGTCGGCGTCTCCGCCGTCGTCGTCGCCGCCGCCGCCGCCGCCTCCGGACGCGGTCGAGTCGTTCGAGCCGCGGGGTCGTCGTTCAGTAGTTCTGGTTCGATCGTCGCTCCCGCGGTCGCGGTCGCCGCGCGCGCGTCGTCGTCGTCGTCAAAGTCGCCGGGACTCCTCCGCGGGCGAACGTCCACGGTCGGCGCGCTCTCGAGCGCGTCGTAGAACGCCGCGTCCGTCGTCGTCGCGTCATCAGGGCGGCTCTCGACGCCGCCGCGCGACGCCGCCGGGCGAGGGACGTTCCGCGGCCGCGCGAACGCGTCCGCCGAGGGTTCGGCGGGCTCGCGCGGGCGCGAGACCTCGCGCGGAGGCGGCGTGGTTTGCGCTCGCGCTTGTTGCGTCTGCGGACGCGGCGCCGCTCGCGAGGCGGCCGGCGCCGCGCGCGTCGCGCCGCTCGATCGACCCGCGCTCGCGCGCGTCCCCGCGCGAGGTCTCGCGCCGAACCCTCCGCGCGCGGCGTTCGCGCGCGTCGCCGCGCCCCGCGCGCCGAACCCTCCGCGCGCGGTCGCGGCCCTTCCGACGCTTCTTCCCGCGAACCCTCCACCGCCTCTTCTCGCGCCGCCGCCGCCGCCTCTCCGCGCGGCCGCCGCGCGCTGCGCGTCCGCGCCCGTCGCGAGGAGGAGGAGCAGGAGGATCGCGATACAGCGCGCTCGCGCGGCCGCGGACGCCATCTCGCGCGCGCGGAAGTGCGGCGTCGTCCCGAACCACGACGTGCCACGTCGCGCGGTCCAAGACGCGGCAGCGCGTCGTCCGAGACTTTCGTCGCGACGGACGGCGACCACGGCGTCCTCGTCAGCGCGTATCGCGCACTCCCTCGCGCGCGGCCGCACGCGCGTCCTGTCGTCATGAAGACCTCCACGATCCCTCCCGCCCTCGCGCTCGTCCTCCTCTCGTTCGCGCTCGCCGCCGGCGCGCAGGTGGTCACGGACGCGGAGGTGCGCGCGCTCTTTCTTTCTTCTCGCGGACGTCGTCGTCGTCGTCGCCCGCCTCGTCGCCTCCTCTTCCCTCTTCGCCTCCGACGATGAGGTCATCACGCGCTTCCCTCCTTCCTTCCCTCCCTCTCCGCTCGCGCCGCAGTGGGCGCCGACGCTCCGCCCCGCCGATATGAACGGCCAGTGGTTCGGACGCATCGTCCGCGCGATCGACGCGAGCGTCGAGGGCGCGGAGGTCATGTACGCCGGGCACCCGGACGTCGTGCGCAACGTCGTTTTGTTTTTCGACGCGCGAGACGGCGACGCCATCGCCGCGGCGGTGATCAACGAGTACGGCGGCGTGGAAGAGAAAGACGGCGGCTACCGCGTGAAGGGCAAGAACGTCGCCGCGACGTCGGCGGACGATTGGATGCCCGTGAACGGCGACGTCGGGTGCGTTTCTTTGGCGTTCGACGAGAAGAAGGAGACGATGTACGCGTGCGCGAAAGACTCTGGCGTGGAGGACTACGACGACTGTCCCCCCGTGCCATCCCCGGGGGAGTTCGAGAACGACGGCGCCGGGATCGACCTCGAAGCGATCGGCGCCGACCGCGCGGTGATCCTGAAGCGCTCCCCCGCCGCGCTCACGGACGAAGCCTTCGGTCTGGACGCCTCCGCGAACGAGGAGGAGGACTACGCCGCGAAGTGGCCCGAGGCGATGCCCGGCTTGTGGTCGGGGACGATGGTCGCGAACGACGAAAAGTACGTCTCCATCCTCGGCGCGACGCCGACGTTCTTGAGCGTGTTTCAAGGCGCCGCCCCGAACGCGTGGGTGTTCATGGACCCCGAGGACGAGACCAAGATCGCGAGCGCGAACGTCGGTCTGATGCGAAGCGTGAAGGAGCGCGAAGACGGATCGTTCGAGTTTACGAACGAGGCGTGGAAGTACACGCCCGGCCCGGAGCACGTCGCCGGGCGCGACGACTGGTGCAACGCGTTCGTCCTCAGAGACGACAGCGTCTACATGCTGTCCAACTCGCGCGCGGACGACGTCGACGACGCGGGGACAATCGCGCCCGAGTGCCCGCGAATGCCGGAACTCGAGACGCTGGGTCAGGTGGCGACGCTCATCGCGGAGGGCGGGACGCCGACGTTTGAGCTGCTGTCCGATCAGGGCGCCGTCTCCGCGGTGATGCTGACGCGGCAGTGAACGACAGAAGAAGTGCAGAACGAACGGGAGTGAAACGAGACGACGTCTCCGATGTGACGACGACGACGACGACGACGACGCGTGATGCGACGACGTGAACTGAGTTCTTTCAATCGAAAGCGATGGTACAAAAAAATGCTTCGTTCTTCTACCTACTCGGCTCTTCGTTTCACTTCCGCGTGATGTCCTTCTTCTCCCCCGCGCTAAACACCGTCTTCTCCGTGAATTGTTCCGGCTCCCACGTCCCGTCCAGCCTCTCCGGCGGCGTCATCGTGTTCGCGCCCGCGCCCGCGGCTCGTCGAAACTTTTCCCGTCTCAACATGTTCGAATGCAACGCGTGCACGAGGGTCTCCCCGGCTTTCCCCGTCCTCGACGTCCCCGGACCGGACACTTGCTCCTCCCCGAGCTCCGCGGCGTCCAAGAACCGATCCGTCGCGGCTTCCCAGGACAGCCTGTATCGGTCGCGGCTCGACAGCGGCGTCGGGTCCGTGCTCAGGGCCTTCTTCACGCACTTCGAGAACTCCTCGGGGCTGTCGTACGTCAGACAGTTTGGAAACGAGCTGAAGAATTCGTTCGACGGGTGCGACGCGCAGATGACGTACTTCCCCATCGCGAGCGCTTCCGCGGTCGTCGTCGCGACGACGTCGGAGAGGCTCGGGTTCACGAAGACTTTGTAGTCGTGCATCGCGTCCGAGGCGTGGTCCGCGCGGCCGTGGAACGTCAGCGGTAAATTTTTCTCCGCCGACGTTTGCGTCACGGAGTGAAAGTCCTCGCCGTTGCCGTAGACGTCCAACTCGAGCGGGTACGCCGCGCCGTCGGCGCTCGTGTTGTGCGCCTCGACTCTCTCGAGGAGTTCGTGGAATCCCTTGCCCCAGACAACCTTGCCGAGGAAGTAGCAGCCTTTAGTGAACACCTCGTTCGACGGCGTCACGCGCTCGGGCGTCGGCGGTTCCGCGGGAGTCGTCGCGGGAGTCCCGGCGGGCTCGGTCGCCGCGGTCCCGTCGGCGCCGCGCCCTCTCGCCGCGTCCGCTCGCGCCTTTTCCTTCCGCTCCTTCGCCGCTCGCCTCTTCGATCGCAACACGTTGCTCACCGCTCTCCCCGCGGACGTCGCCGCGGCGGAGTCCGGGTCGTTCTGCGCGGCCATCGCGGCGGCGGCGGCGGTCGCCTTCCGCTTCCCGACTTCCAAAAACACCTCGGAGACGCCGTGGACGTTGACCGTCTCCGACCGCGGGAACTCTTGCACCGCGTCGGACAGCTTGATGATCTTGTGACAGTGCAAGCGCGACACCCACGAGTTCACGAGCCGCAGCGCCTTCTCCTTGACGTTCCCGTGCGCCTCCATCTTTGCATACTCGAGGTAGTTGGTGTGCACGATGCCGACGACGTGTTGGAACTTGTCGCTCCACCTCTCCCCGCTGTTATACCAGTTCAAGTGCTCCGGCTCCTCCAAGACCGCGACGTCGTGCGACTTGTCCGTGATGTATTCGCTCACGTCGCCGACGGGTAAGATCGAGTACTTGTCCGTGTGATACCGCCCGGGGTAGAAGTCCATCTTTAGGTTCGAAGGCTCGAACCCGCAGCGTTCCTTCACCCACTTTCGCACGTACGCGCTCTGTTCCTCGGGAGAGTCGAACACGATCGAAGGGTGGATGATCTTCTGCTCCGACGGCGCGAGCCACGGGATCACGAGCGTGACGTCGTGCAACCCCCGCCGCGCGAGGTACGCCGCGCGAAGCAGCGGGTTCACCGCCGTGCCCGTCATCCACGGCAGCGCCGCCGTCGTGACGATGGCGATGGATCGACCGGGGTCCTTCAGCGACTTCTGTTTACTCGCGACGCCGTCGCCGGGCCCGCCCGTCTGACCCTTCTTCGAGCTCGCGCCTCGGGACACCGCCGCGGCAGCCGCGGCGCGACGTTCCTCGTCCGCCCTGGGCATCACCGCGACGTCGCTGGACGTCCTCTTCGTCCGTCGCTCATCCGCCGAAGACGGGGAAATCTCGACGGACGCGTCGAGGAGCTCCGTCTCCTCCCCAGGATCGTTCTCCGTGCCGTCGCGGGACGACATCGACGTCATCGACGACGTGCGCCCGAACCGCGACGACGAAGACGATTTAGGTTCCTTCCCCGGGGTTATCGGCGACTCCGCCGCGGCGCCCGGCGCGGCGTCGACGTCCGCGCCCGACGCCGCTTCGTCCGCCTTTTTCCACCCCGCGCCGACGCCCCCCGGCGGACCAAACTTAAACTTCATCCCCGGCATCACGCCAATCTTCCCCTCGCCGTCTTTCGCCTTCTCTTTCGCCTTTTCGAGCCACTCCTGCACCGCGGTAGACCCGGCGTCGTGAATGTCGGACAACCACTCCGTCGGAGGCTTCACGTCCGGCATCGCGAACGCCTTGCGCGTCGGCGCGGCGGTCGCGACGCCAAAGTCGCCGGGCTGCGACAGTTCATCTTCCCTCCTCGACGGCGACGTCGACCGCCGCGACGACGCGTTCGAGTCCCCCCCCCCGCCGCCGTTGCCGTTGCTTCCACTTCGTCGTCGCGGCCGCCCGAACGTGGCGTCGGACATCGGGCCGGACCGACCCCCGCCGGAGCTCGCCGACGTGGCGGACGTCTTTAAAGATTTGAAAATGTCCCACTCGGGCAGCGTCGGCGGGGACGGCATCACCGGCATCTGCGGCCTGGGGAGCGTCCCCGGCGCCGCGACCGCGTCGCCCTTGACCTCGCCGCCGCTGACCCGCGCGTCGTTCGCCGCGCCGCCCGCGCCGCCGCCGCCGTCGGCGTCGGCGCCCGCGTCGGCCCCGAAGAAGTGGTCCCCGCTCGCGAGCTGATCCGCGGTGGAGGAGCGACGCATGCCGCCGACGCGCTGCGCCGCCGCCGTGCGCACGCGGCTCAGGAGGACGTTATCGTCCGGCGCCAGCTTCGCGACCGTGTCCGGGACGCGCCGCGCGAGCTCCGTGAACGCGTTGATGGTCGGATACGGCCCGCCGTTGGACGTCTCCGACGAGCTCGTCGGCGTCGCGAGGCTCTCGCGCGTGCTCGCGAGCGCGCGCTGCAGGTCCGCTTTCGCCTGCGTCACCCTCGTGTCCATCGCCTCGCGCATCTTCCCGAGGGAGAACGCGTCCGCGGGACGCGCGGTCGCGTCGCGGTCGAGGGGCGCGGGGCCTCGCGGCGGGCGCGGCGGCGGCGGCGGCGGCGGCGTCTCCATCGCGCCGCTTGACGCGCGATGCGTATCGCGGACGCGGCTGGCTCAGGTTTCGACGGTGCCCAAGGCGAATCTCGCGCGCGGACGCGCGCGCGGCGACTTCGCGCCCGGTTTGCCGCCCCGCGCGGGTCCTCGCGGTTCTTGAGACAGACGACGCGCGGTGCGCGCGCGCGCGACGTCTCTCCGAGCCGCGGAGGACGCGCGCGTGTCGTCCTCGCGCGAGCGAAGCGTCGTCGAGGATATTTCTTTCGTGTTGTTTTGTGGTCGCGAGAGCGTCGGGGCGTTTCGCCGTCCCCGCGTGCGGCCGGCCGTTTTTCGCGTCGGCGCGGTATGGGATCTCAGTCAGACGGCGTCTGTACTCGTGTACTCGTACAGTAGTACGCTCGCCGCGGCGCCGGATCCCGCGCGAAAAAAAAAATGTTCAAATCGTCTCTCGTCGCGTCGTCGCCAGAGCGCGCGGAGCAGCGACGACGGCGCGCGAGGACCGGGCGGCCGATCCTCCTCCCCGTCGGGCGCGATGGTGTTCCTCTCCAAGATGTACAAGCGGCGGCAGAAGGCGACGGAGATGAGCGCCATGCTCGCGTCGAGGGGCGCGGAGCGAGACGCGGTCGCGAGCGCGGCGGAGGACGACGGCGCCGTCGCGGCGAACGCGCCGGCGACGTACCGTCGCAAGGAGGGCGCCGCTCCCGCGTCGACGCAGGGCACGATCGCGGCCGCGTTCGCGAAGGCGGCCACCAGCGCGTGCGACGACGCCGCCGCGCCGAAGAGCGCCGCGCCGGATCCGTTCGACTTCGAGAGCTCCGCGGACTTCGACGTCGGCCCCGCGGTTTCGATCCCGCCTCATCTCGTCGGATCTCACCATCGGGGGGACGCGCGCGACGACGACGACGGCGACGACGGCGGCGGCGGCGCGTTCGACGGCGCGCGCGCGGCGAGGCCGCCGTCGCCCGCGGACGGCCTCTACAACGATCCGTTCAAGAGCGCGCGCGCGCACAGTCACACGCCGTCGAAGCGACGCAAGGTGACTTGGGCGGAGGTGGAGGACTTCGAGCTCGGGGAGAGCTCGGAGGACGAGGAGCCCGCGGAGTGGAACCTCTTCGGCACGCCGACGCGAGCGACGGCGGGGAAGAACGCGAGAGACGCGAGAGACGCCGCGGAGGCGACGCCGGCGTGGGCGAAGCGAGCCGCGGCGGAGCACGCGGCGAGGCGAGCCGCCGCGATGGACGACGCGATGGATTCAGACGATCGACGGGGGCCCGGAGGGGACGACTCGACGAGCCCGGGGTCGAGCGGCGGCGGGACGGGGACGGGGACGGGGACGGGGACGGGGACGGGGACGGGGACGGGGACGGGGGGCGCGAAGAGAACGTCGAGGACGCGCGCGAGGACGCGGACGAGCGCGGATGCGGAGCAGCCGAAGTCGAGGTCGAAGGCGGGACGGACGAAGAAAGGCGCCGCGCCGCTGAACACGTCGATCCTGACCGGCCCGAACGGCGGCGGCGGCGGCGGCGGCGACGACGACGACGACGCGAGAGATGATGCCGACCCCGAGCGACCGCTGCCGGAGAGCGGCGAACACCTCGCGGACGTGGACGAGGCGCAGTACGCGCTCTCAGGCGTCGGCGACGACCAGCCGTCGTCGTCGCGTCTGCGGTCCGCGGTCGCGCTGACGACGCTCTGCGTGGACGCGAAGCGGCGACGCGTGCTCGCGTCGAACGGGCTGTCCGGCGCCATCGCGCGCGCGGGGTTTTCCATCGCCGCGCGCGCGTTCAAGGACGCGTCTTCTGCCGCGGGCGTCCTCGAGAGGCACCTCGCGCCGCCGCCGAACGCGATGCGCCTCGCCGCGGCGACGCTCTTGTACGCCGGCGCGCAGGACCTGAGCGCGAAGGAGTGCGCGGAGGTGTTCGCGGACCCGGCGAGCGCGGCCGCGCTGGCGTATCTGTTGGGACCGGACGAGGACGAAGGCGGCGGCGCGGGCGACGTTCCAACAGTTCCCGACGGCGCGGGCGGCGGGTTCAGATCCATCGTCACCGCGCGGGCGGCGAAAGAGGCAACCGTCGCGATGCGCGAGGCGCTCGCCGCGTTGAAACTCCTCCCCGACGAGGAGATATCGCCGCAGACGCTGACGTTGATGACGACGCACCGAGCGCTCGCGACGCACGAGAAGCTCGCCGCCGAGGCGAGCGCGCGCGACGCGGTGCGAAGAGCCGGGCGGACCAACGCGGGGGAGGAGGAGGAGGAGGACGAGCGAGCGGACGAGGAGAAGATGCGCGGGTGGGGGACGCTGAAGGAAAGGCTCGCGCGGGACGGCGTGATGCTGCGCGTCGCGTCGCTCGCGGACGACGCCGCGCGGGACGTCGCGCGCGTCGGATCGCGCGTGTTCGCTCGCGCGGCGCCGGCGGGGATCGCGGCGGGATCGACGGAGGACGACGCGGAGATGGACGACGGCGACGGCGGCGAGGAAGGGGCGGAGGACGTGGCGCGCGTCGCGTCGCGGTCGTTCGCGCGGCTGTTCCGGTGCATGCGCGTCGTCGAGTCCGCGACGTTCGGGTCGCAGTCGTGCGCGGACGCGGTCGTGTTGGGGGACCTCTCCCGCGGCGGCGGCGGCGGCGGCGGGACGGCGACGGCGACGGCGACGGAGATCGAAGGCGTCGACGGCGCGCTGTCGCTCGTGCCCACGCGCGCGAACGTCTCGCTCGCGTCCCCGGCGCCGACGGCGATGGACGCCACCGCCGCGGACGAAGCCGCGGAGACGAAGCCGCTGTCTCCGTTCGACGGCGTCGGCGTGAAGCGTCCGTTCGACCCGACGGGCGCGGACGCGTCGGCGCCGCCCGAGAAGAGGATCAAGCCGCTCGTTCTGACGCCGTCGCCCGGCGGCGCGGCGGCGACCGCGGGCGCCCCCGTCCCGGCGTCGCCGTCGCCGTCGCCGTCGCCGTTCGTCGTCGACGCGACGATGCCGATGTCCTCGCCCGTGCCCGCGGCGGTCGCGAAGCGCCTCAGCGACGACGGCGCCGCCGCCGGGTCGCCGACGACGTTTAACTTTTCGCGCGTCGCCGCGGCGGTGGACGCGTCCATCGCGTGGTTGGACGACGGCAGGGCGGACGTCGACGGGAACCGCACCGGGGAACCCGCGCGGTGGACGATGACGCACTCGCTCCTGCGCGCGATCCCGGCGCTGGCTTCCGCGGCCGCGGCGTCGGCGCACGACGCGAGAGCGGGCGAGACCGTGTGCGGCGTGCGCGTGTCGAGAGACGGCGGGTTGGGCGTCGACGCGCGGCTGTGCGCGAGCGTGCTCCGGTCGGTCGTGCACGTGTTGACGAATCTCACGAACGAGAACCCCGCCGGGTGCGCGGCGGTGCGGGCGTGCGACGGCGGGCTAGACAACGCCGCGTCGCTCGTGCCGTGGTGCGCCGCGCTGCAAGGGTTGATCCCGGGCGCGGGGCCGTCGAAGGAGAAACGCGAGGAGGCGGCGATTCGATCGGGGGAGGTTCGAAAGAACGCGACGCGGGCGGGGTTGGGGCCCGCGGCGGCGGCGAGGCAGGCGAAGGAGGACGCGGAGTGCGGCGTCGCCGCGGACATGCTCAACGCGGCGATGTGCCTCCTCGTGAACATGTGCGAGATCGACGCGGAGACGTGCAAGGCGCTTCGGACGCTCGAGACGGACGTCGGCGCGTTGGAGTGCGTCGGCGCGCATCGCGGGAAGAACGGCAAGAAGACGACGCTGAAGTCCGCGGCGAAGGCGCGCGCGGCCGCCGCGGCGTTGGCGTCGCGGCACGTCGGGCTCGTCGAGCTTCTGACGCAGATATTCGTCCGCAGCGGCGGCGCCGGGCCCGTGGACGAGGACGGGAACGTGATCAAGAAGGCGTCGGAGGGCGACGGCGACGGCGACGGCGACGGCGACGGGAAGCGAGAGACGCGAAAGACGCGCGCGTCCGCGGCCGCGGCGGCGAACGAACCCGAGGACGACGAGGTCACCGCGGAGATGATCGAAGCGAGGGAGAAGGAGGGGGATGGGTTGATAACGCAAGCGTACGCGGCGTTACTCGCCGCGTTCCTCGTGGAGAACCAACCCGCGTTGAGAGCGGACGTCGTGTGCTCGATGCCCGAGGGGGGCCTCGCGGCGATGGCCGGCGTCCTCGAGCGGTTCCGCGCGTTCCACGAGAACCTGGACAGCATCTCGGAGGAGTCGCACGCGTCGCTGTCGAGGATCATCAAGTGGCTCAAAGGGAACAACTGACGACGCGCGATGGAGGGGAGAGAGGGACTGACGGCTGTTGCGTAGAGTGAATTTTTGCGACGACGAAAACGACGTAAACCTCGTTCTCAGCACTGCTGTCTCGCGCCCGAATCCTCGAGTCCTCGTTCACTCGAACGACGCGCGGAGCGACGCGCGACGACGCGCGATGTCGAAAGTCTCGTTCAAGATCACGCTCACGTCGGACCCGAAGCTTCCGTTCCGGGTGTTGAACGTCCCCGAGGAGGCGCCGTTCACCGCGGTGCTTCGATACGCCGCGGAGGAGTTCAAGGTCCCCGCGGCGACGTCCGCGATCATCACGAACGACGGCGTCGGCATCAATCCGGCGCAGACGTCGGGGAACGTGTTCTTGAAGCACGGCTCGGAGCTCAGGTTGATCCCGCGCGATCGCGTGGGTGGGAGGTGAGGTGGCGAGCGTCGAGAATCGCGCGAGCGATGAGGGCGGGGTGGGGCGTCGGGTAGGTGGACGAAGGCGACGGGCGAGTGACGAGTAGTAGATGTTTTGGTTTTGTTGGAAAGGAACGAGATCCACACGCACTCCACGTCGCGCGCTCCGTCTCCGCCGCGATCTCGCTCTCACCTCCGGCGTGATCCCGCGCGATCGCTAGGACCGCCGCCATGGCGACGGTCCTTCGGCGCGCGAGCGCCTTCGCGCGCGTCGTCGCGACGCGCGGTGGAAACGGCGTTTCGTCGTCGTCGTCGTCGTCGTCGTCGTCGTCGTCTCTCGCGCTGCCCGCGTCGTCGCGTTCCATCTCCACGGAGGAGCGGTTCCGCGAGACGCCGGGGAACATATTCAAGTCGTCCGAGGCGAACAAGATCGGGCTGTCTTACGCGCTGGACGGCGTCATGCGCAGCGGCGCGCACGACATGAAGGCGCGCGCAGAGCCGTCCACCCGCGCTCGCTCGTTCGTTCGTTCGATCGATGACGTCGTCGATTTCGTCCGCTCGTCGGCGCTCTCTCGCTCGTCGCCCGCTTCCTCACCCCCCAGGCCCCCCTCCTCCCGCGCCTCTCTCTCTCCATCGCATCATCAGGTCTTCGGCACGGGCACGCTCGCGGCGCTGACGTCCAGAACCGCGTACGCGAAGTTCACCGCCGCGCACTACCACTTCTACGACGCGCTCGAGCGTCGACTCGACGCCGCCGCGAGCGAGACGCGCGCGGGCGG